ATTCAACTTGAACCGTCATAAATGAGGCCAAGATTTTCTAAGCTAATAAGACCTTTAAAACCTGTAGTTAACAGAGAGTCGGACCGTTCACTGACCTGAGGTGAGGGGAGTCCGTCGCGCTCGCAGCATACGATAACTGCCCACCTCCAGAGACTGAGTGAGGTCCAGGTCGTGGAGGATGAGCAGGTAACCAGAGGACGTGGAGATGAGCATCTTTGAACAGTCAGGCGTCAGACGCATCCTCATCAGGTACCGAGTGTGGAAGAACTTTTTGTGTGGGCAGCCGTCCTCTGTAAACCTGCAGAGGAAAAGACGAGCGTCCGTTAAGGACGACACTCAGAGGACTAACATCCTTAAAGTTTGGACAGTTGATTTAGACTCTGGTCCAACCTGTTAGTGTCCCACGTTATGACGTTGCCGTCGAAGCCCGACGTGACGAGGAGCCTCGTGTTAGTGTCGTACTCGATGTTCTTCACCCAGCTTGCGTGGCCGTGCAGCGAGCAAACCTTGGAGTTCAGCTTCCGCAGATCCCACAATGCAATAGTGGTGTCGTCAGAGCAGGTGGCAAACAGGCGATTGTCCAAAAACCTGCCGAGACACGGACACGGGCAGCAGATTAACCAGTTTTCTTGTCAGCTCTTCGTTTGATTAAAGAACTTTTTTTTTCTCATTACTATCTCCTACAGTTTATTGATTTGTCTAGAAACTCACCGGATGTTGTTGACGCAGTCTTCATGAGCCTCCATCAGGGTTTTGATGTGTTTGGATGAGATGGGGTCAAACAGCAGGACCTCAGTCTGTTCACAGGCCACAGTCAGTACTGACCTACAGACACACACACACACAGGTCCAACGGAAAACATCAAGAACACGCAGGAAAAGTATGTTTACCGCCCACAATCACTGGTGGGATTACAATAAATCCATTTACAAAAGTGGGGATGGTCAAAGCCATAGGACAGTAGACGGCGTCTCAGGGACATTACAGGCGGACACTTCACTTTTATAGTAATTCAGACAGGAAGTGGATTTCTCAGACAGCACTAAAGTTGCCAAACGTTCCAGCCAAAACCGTTGCAATATGTCGGTTTCTTTCTCCTACATAGTCCCAGATCCATAACTGCAATTAAATCAACATTATGGAAGATAAAAACACAGTTAAATAAAATGA